GTTGGGGGGCAGCCGCACGTTTTGGGGCGGAAAAGAAGATGCACTCACCGACGCCACCAGGACACGGAACGACAACACCCGCGCCAGCAAAGGCCGCGAGCCCCCGTCAGACCCGGCGTACGGGCGCCGCGGCCGCGGCCGCAGCCGCGCGGCGACGCTCGCCGGCGGCCCTCCGCGCCCCGCATCGCCCCGACCTGCACCCGAAACCGCCGCCGCCGCCGCGTGGGCGGGATGCTATCTCAAAAATGAGAAGGGATCCGGCGAGGCGGGGCGGAGGAAGAAAGCGCACCTGCTTCAGCACCCCCAGGGCCGCGTCCCGAAAATCAGGCGCATTGAGGAAGAACGCGCACGCCTCCACCACGCTGCCGCCCCCGACGCGCCCCAGCGGCGCCCACTCGACGTAGGACGAGAGCGCCCCGAGCGCCGCGTTGACGACGGCGGCGTGGGCGCGCGCGGCGTCGGGGCGGCCGGACTGGGAGGCGGCGACGCCGGCGGAGAAGTTGTCTTGCAGCAGCTGCGGGGCGCGGGCAGGTGGGGGGGCGATTTCAGGCTGCAGACGCTTTCAGACATTTATCTCAGCGGGGCCAGGGCAATGAGATGGGCTCGGGCGACGCCGCGGATTGCAAGGGCGGCTGCGGGCCAGATCAGGTGTGTGGCCGCCGCCTGCGCCACGGGCAGCGGCAAAACCAGAGAGCGTGCGGCCGCGCGCAGCGTGCACAGCACGCACAGCATGCACATCACGCACAGCATGCACAGCACGCACAGCACGCACAGCACGCACCTTGACCAGCGCGGGGAACACTGTGTCCACGCTGGCCAGCAGCGCGGACAGGAACGAGCGCCGCCAGTCCCCCGTGCGGTCCTCGAACTGCATTATGTCCTCCGCCACAAACTGCAGCACCAGGCAGCTGATCTCGGCCTTTTCAGGGGAAGCCGTCAAGGGGTTTTGGAGGGGGCGGGATGAGAAGGTGCCTAGCGAGGAGCTCCATGTGGCGTGATGCCCAGGCAGGACAAAAAGCGTGAAACTGGGAGTCAACGCAGGCAGGGCCCCGCCTCCACCGCAGCCGCATTGACAAGGGCCTTAAGCCTCGCCGCGCCGTCAGAATCATGTTCACGCAGGCGCCCCCGCCCGCGGCCCAGCCCAGGGAAAGCTTCAGCCGTGACCGCCGGCGGCCACCCTCCCGCCCCTACGCCGCCCCGGCCCACGCCCGCCCGCGCCGCCCGCGCCGCCCACCTGCATCGGCCCCTCCCCCGCCGCCGCGATAAGCTGCGGCAGCAGCTGCCCGAAGCCCTCGGGCCCCTGCTGGCGCACAACACCCGCTAGCAGCATCGCCGCCTTGCTCTTGAGCGCCCAGGCCGCCTGGGCACCCAGGTGGCCGACTGGGGGGGGGGGCGCGGGGGTGTTTCAGGGAGTGCGTTGGGACGAGGCCACGATACGGTGCCAGACGCGTGCACACGCACCACCAGCACCAGCGCTCGCACGTGTTTTGACGTGTGTGCAAGCACGTGCACGAGCGTCTGGTCAATTGTGTGTGCATGCAAACGCAAGCACAAACGTGAATACGTGCACACACACACACACACACGCACACACGCACGCGCGCACACACAAACACACACACACACACACACGCACAAACATGGATGCGCGAACGTGCACACACACTCTCACACATACATGCAAACGACTCAAACAGACACTGCCATATGTTTCCCCGACGTGTGAACACACACACTGCTTTGTGTGCGAGCCGTCCGCATGCACTCCCACACAATTGGGTGCCCCCGCCGCCCGCCGCTCACCGTCTCTCAGGTGTTGGTAGGCCAGCTGCGTGACCTGCTGCTGCTCCTGCGGCGCCAGCTCGCCCCAGCGGTTGCGCACCAGGTACTGCAGCAGCGAATAGGCGGACACCTGGGGGCAACATCATGGGTTGCATTGCGGGGTCGGGTGTCAATGGACGTGCCACCCACACCAGGCGGAGGGCTGAGCGTGCACGAGGGTTGTGCCGCGCGCTCACTGTGGGCCAGCGCTGAAGAAGAAGAGGGAGGGGGTGAGGGTGCGGCATGGGAAGACCAGGTGCGGGGCTCGCGCATGCAGAGCAGGAGTTTGTGGGTGCAGGGCGGCTGCCTTGGTGAGTTGTCACCCAGAACGCATGTAGTCGCACGCGTGCGTCCAGGTACCGCCATTGGTGCGCGCATCAGCAAACAGCAGCGGCGGCAGCGGTAGCCGCAGGACGCTGGAGAATGCTTGGCGGTGGCGTCGGGAAGGTCGCCCTGCCAACTCTGCGCATTGCCACGGCAGCTGAGCGGAAGCTGCGAGGGAGCTGGCGCACCTGAACCTCCAGGGCGTACTGCGTGCCCGTCAGCACGGCGGCCGCGAACACGGTCGAATGGATTTCGCCATGCTTCAGCTGCGGCGGCGAGAGTAGCGGCGGTGCGATGCACGTGGGCGGTGCGGCGTGGTGCGGGCGTGGTGCGGCGGCAAGCCGCCCGCAGCACAGGACGGGGCGGCGCGGGTCGTGCGGCAGCCAGGAGCTGGTGGCAGAGCTCAAGTTGGCATGGATTTGATGTAAGCGGTGTTGTGGCGCACCTGCTCGAAGAAGCGGACGGCTTCTGTCCGCTGCTCCTGCGTCGACGCCGCATTGTGCGTGACGGCGGTCGCGCTGACGATGCTGTCTGCAAGCTGCTGCGCGGCGGCTTGCATGACTGTGGCTGACTGTTTTGCAGTTTAGTTATGTAACTCTCTGAAGGGGCCGCCCGCCAGTGCCGTAGATCTGCTCCGTCCACGCTATCCCATCGATCGTCTATGCAATCATCGCGAGGCCTCGAATTGTTGGCTCAGTAAATGCTTCGATGCGCTTTCAAGCGGTATACTTAAGGTCGACGCACACTCGGGCTGAGATCAACGCATCAAGCTTGGGGACTGATGAAGAGTGAATTAAGCATCAAGTGATGCATTGGCTCTAACGTCTGCATGGCTGTCAGCAGAGCAGCGGGCCCACAGCTGCCGGATTATTGGCATGCCTTGTGCCCTCCCCGAATCCTCCCTGGCAGTCTCCTGACAGGGGGTGGGGGCGGGGGGGTGCCACCTGCACACGCTGGCTGCTATGCCCAAGGCAACGTGCACAGCAGATGAAGTTACCACGAGTACATATGATAAGCACGCGAGTTTGCACCGCCACGATGAGAGATGCAGAGGGGCGACCGCTCCATGTGGCCACTGGGCCAGCATGATCCTGCCCACATCAAGGGAGTGAGCAAGCAGCAGCCGACCATGCATCAACATGCAATATGATATGCAACAGGCGTCCGCCCACAGCCCTCCATGCAGCAACGGGCATGGCCGGTAAGCATGGCCGGTAAGGACGCAAAATTGTGGCGTCAGGACACACCACACTCCCATATGCTTGGGGCGTGCGCCGTCAGCTGTCGTCAAAGTATGCGCCCCATGCATATGCCCCATGCTGCCGACACGCTCAACACACACACACAAACACACACATGCGCATGCGCGCGCACACGAGCCACACCACTGCCGCATGCCCACGAATCACGGCCAGAAATGCACCCCTCTGCCCACCCATGCGGTTCACAAAGCTCAAGGGCACTCCACGGACCATGCGCGCACCCCACGAGCCACCAGCCACCAAGCATCCTCCCCCTCCGAAAACAAAAGCCATTCAACACACAGTCTCAACACCACAACCCTCCGCCTCGCCGGCGGGCAGGGGGTGGTACGCCAACGCCGCCAAGACCCCCCTCATCATGCCGCCTCGCCGGCGGCAGGGAGGGGGTCCGGGCGCTGCCCCCCAACCACTCGTCTACATCAGCCCCCTCTACCGGCCAGCCAGCCAGCCGCCTCCCAACCCTGGGAGCGTCCCCGCCGCCACCCCGCCGGCGGCGCCCCGCTGGCGCTGGCGCGCGCGCGCGTGCGCGCGCCGCCCCCTCACGCCGCCTCATCGGCCGCGGGAGCGAGGTACCCGAGCCCCATCTGCCGCAGCGCCGACTGCACCGCAGCTTCCTCCGCGGTGCCCTCGGCCACGCCCTCAGACAGCACCATCAGCGGCCCCACCGCGTGCTTGTGATACAGCGCCCGCTTGAGCGAGCTGTCGAAAGCGAGGACCGTGATCAGATTGCACGCGTGCGCCTTGGCGCGCAGCGCCAGCGCCGCCGCCGCAGCCGCCACGGCGTCGCCGGCGGCGCCGCCGCCCTTGGCGGCGGCGGAGGGGGCCGAGAGCTCTCCGCCGGCCGGCAGGCGGAGCACGTTCACGATCGCGTCGACGACGCCGCCGCGCGCGAGCGCCTCGCGCTGGCCGAGCGACAGGGCGTCGAGCGCGGCCATCGCCTCGGCGACAAGGGGCAGCGGCGCGGCGCCGTGCGGCGCGGCGGCGGCGCCGACGAGGCGGGGGATGCCTTCCAGGCCCATTAGCGCGTCTGAGAACGCGGGGTGCAGGGTCACGAGGACCCTCGCGAGCCGTGCGGCGAC